GGTTTCTATACTTGATCTTAGCCAGAAGCCAGGAAGCAATAGATACTGGCTTCTAAATACCATTCATCTGTAAAAGGAACCAAGGCTCCCTAAATAAATGGCTAATTACATCCTGGAACGTCATCTTTAGCCAGACAGGTAGGAAATACTTATTAAAGGGTCATGTTAAAAGGACACCACAGCCAGCTTGAAGGGGTTCCTGCAACTGGCCAATCTGAGATAATTTGAGCATCAGAAAAATAGAATACTGGTCATTCCCTCTGGATCAAGAAACGTTCTTTATAAAAGAAATCCACCAAATAAAGAGTAGTAGAATTAGAATCAACATTCTGTAACTCAAAAAGAATTGATTCAGCTATTAGTTAAAAGTTTGACAGAACATATGTTTGCATGATGCCCAGGTAATTCCCAACAGGTCACCTGTTAATTGCAAAGAGAATGCCACAGCTTTACAAAGTGGTGACCTTAACTAAGAGAGCAAGCTCCAAATCAATATCATGGGACAACTTTTCGTCATGTGGCTCCAAAAGAGAGGCACTACCAGGTACAAAAAACCTCTAATGCAGTGTTCCTGGCAAAAACTTTAACCTAAATCGAACCAAGATGTTTTATCTGACTTAAAGGTTACAACCAATCCAGTAGACAGAAAAGCAACTTTAAAAACGCCAAGAGGAAATACTTACACAGAGCCGAGCATACAGTATCCACAGGATGATGCCTGGTCTCTTAAAAAGGCAATGAGGATGGGGAAGTAAAAAGCCAGTGTGCGGAAGCAGAGAGAACCAAGGCATGGGCAATAGCACACCCACATGGGAGGACTGCTCTTTATTTAGACCTGGTGGGAGGGAGGGAGGGGTGGAAGTGCCACTACGTCCTTAAAATGCTATGAAGGAAATACATAAAACTTGTATAACTTAAAATAATATATATGTATATGTGTATGTGTGTGTGTGTGTGTGTGTGTGTGTAACACAGACAGAGGCCTAACAACCAAATAGGATGCATGAGCTGTGGGGTCCTGGTTAGAGATCAAAGGACACTTTTGTGACAAATGGGAGTATTTGAATACAAAATATCCTCATGATTTGATGAACTGTCAATTTTCTTATGTGCAGCAAGTACATTATTAAGTAGCAAAGGTCCTTATATTTAAGAAATGCAAGATTAAGTATTTAACAGTGAAATAGCTGAGATCTGTAACTTATTTTCAAAAAGCTTACATGCAGAGATAAAAAGTATGTTTTATCTAGTTAATAAGAGAATCTATGATCATTAAACTGTTCTTTCAAATTATATGGCTAAACTTTCAACATGAGAAAAAGTTTAAAAAGCAACCAGGATCTGATAAATTAATAAACATAAAAGTAGAAATTAATGAAACAAATGTTAAATTGATTTATTCAATAAAATTAACAGATTCTTTAATAACAACAAATAGACAAAAAACTTGACTATTCTGATCAAGATAAGTAATGAAAAGACAAAGCTAACATCAGAAAAGAGAAAAAAGATGTAATGACAGATAAGGAATTTTAAAAATTTAAAATAACTCCTGTTTAACCTTATACCACATACATTTCCAAAGCTACATGAAATGATATCTTCTCATAAATGGAATTTACTGAAGTACTAAAATTAGCTTAAGCTGTGGTTAATCACATGGAATCAACAAAATTCCATGGAAGAAATTGAAAAGCTATCAGAAATCTACCCTCCAAAAAGACATCAGATGCAAATGGCTCAATGGACAGAATATTTATGATGTGTGCATTATTACAGAATATAGAAAACTGCAAAAAACTTTCTGACTTGTTTTAGGAGGTGACCATAATCCTGGTACCACAGTGAACCAGGTCATATTTTTTTTTTTTTTTTTTGACAGGCAGAGTTGGACAGTGAGAGGGAGAGAGAGACAGAGGGAAAGGTCTTCCTTCCGTTGGTTCTCCCCCCAAATGGCCAACTACAGAGCCAGGTGCTTCCTTTTGGTCTCCCATGTGGGTGCAGGGCCCAAGCACTTGGGCCATCCTCCACTGCCTTCCCGGGCCACAGCAGAGAGCTGGACTGGAAGAGGAGCAACAGGGACAGAATCCGGCGTCCCAACAGGAACTAGAACCCAGGGCACCAGCACCACAGGCAGAGGATTAGCCTAGTGAGCCATGGTGCAGGCCTTTTTTTAAAAAATTTATTTATTTATTTGAAAGGCAGAGTTACCGATAAGGAGAGAGAGAGAGAGAGAGAGGGAGGGAGGGAGGGAAGGAGGGAGGGAAGGAGGTCTTCCATTCACTGGTTCACTCTCCAAATGACGGCAATGGCCATGGCCAGAGCTGGGCCAATCTGAAGCCAGGAGTTTCTTTCAGGTCTCTCACACGGGTGCAGGGGCCCAAGGACTTGGACTATCTTCCATTGCTTTCCCAGGCCATAGGAGAGAACTGGATTGGAAGTGGTGTAGCCAGGACTCCAGCTGGCACCCACATGGGATGTCAGCATTGCAAGCAGCAGCTTTAGCTGGTATGTCACAGTGTCAGCCCCTCAGTTCATAATTTTATAACTATATATCAAATACTTTGACATACATGTACATATTTAAAATTAAGTGAGCAAATATATAACTGTTCAGTGCCTGGTGGAACCGTGCCTGGCATACAGATAGCACTGCATCAAAACCAATGCTTCTTCTTCCTTACAACTAAGGCTACAACTACCCTTTCCCTTGCTTGTTAGTGTTTCATGGTGAAAGAATGCCACGTTAGTGGCAGCTTCCCACTAGTCACCTTTATGATGCTTGTGGATGACGTGTGGCCACTGGAACTGGAATGTCTAGTTTCCCTTGACCTAGATGAGAAACTCCCATCACAAAATAAATCGCTTCCTTATCTCTAGGACCCAATCAGATAAATGAGACAGTGCAGGACTGGGTGAGGGATCAGTAAACACTGCCTGTGTTAACTAGCCTCTGCTTCCCTGAGAAAGTCCCCTGCTGTGATTCCTAGATCCCTAAGTTTAGAAGAGGTCATTAGTAGATCACAACAATTGAATGCGCTGAAAGCTACCAAACTTCACACATACAAGTGACTAACATGGTGTATTTTGTTATGATAAAAAAAATTTAAACCATACTATTTAGTAAAACCTGTAGTAAAAACTCCTTACTTATTGACATTCTGATTCATTTATTGAAGGTTACCAAAGTTCAGGATCAAGCCTAATTGCATAAATGAGCAATGAGGCATAGATTTGTGTTTGAAGCTTATTAAATAAGCATTCTATTTACAAACTCATCTTTACCTATTCTAGAACCTAGGGTTTCAAAATTATAGAGTAGTTTAATAATTACACCTTTATTTTTTTACTTAGAGGTCCCAAAGTATTGTGGCACAGTAGGTTAAGTCACTTAATGGGATACCTGCATTCCCTATCGAAGTGCCTGAGATCACCCTGGCTCTGTTTATTTTCTAATATTTATTTATTTATTTGAAAGGCTGAGTTATGGAGAGAGGGCAGGGGGAAGAGACACGAGAGAGGTATTCCATCTGTTAGTTCACTGCTCAAATGGCTGAGAGAGCTGTAGCTGGGCCAGTCCAAAGCCAGGAGCTTCCTCTAGGTCTCCCCGATAGGTACAGGGGCCCAAGTACTTGGGCCAGTGTCTGCTGCTTTCCCAGGCACATTAGCAGGTAGCTGGATCAGATGTAGAGCAGCCAGGACTCAAACTGGCACCCACATGGAATACCAGCATCTTAGGCAGCAGCTTTACCCACTACACCACAACACCAGCCCCCAGTTCTGTTTCTGATCCAGCTTCCTGCTAACGCACACCCTTGGAGGCAACAGATAATGGCTCAAGTACTTGGTCTCTACCACTCACAAGGGAGACTCAGATGGAGCTCCTGGCTCCAGCCTGGCTCAATTCTAGCTACTACAGGCATCTGGAGTGAACCAGTGATGGAAAGTATGTGTGTGTATGTAACTATTACCCCACCCCCATGAAATTTTTTGAAAATGTATAAAAAGAACAAATATAGACTTTTCACTATTACAGAGCTACTGAATAATATAAGAAATTAGTGGACTCTGTATCTGAGATGTTTAATCATGAGACCATGACATGTCCTATGGAATACCATTTCCTCAAAATGAACATCACTAAAGTTACAAACAGGACAGTCAGTAAGATAGAACTTCCCCTACGCTAGGCAGTGAATGACCCAGATCTGTAAGGCTAGCAGAACCCATCCTTAGTCATTCTCAGAAAGCGACACTAGTTCTGGGCAATTAAATGAGCCTGAAGATTAATGGAGTGGAGACGCAGATACATTACCAACAACCAAAACAACAACAACAACAAAGACAGGAATTTCTGGGAGCTTTTACAATATGAGTCTCTCAGTGTCTGTATGTCGGTCTGTCTCTCCCTATAACAAGAAGGAACATTTTTGGTATCAGAGGGGATTAACCTGAGAGTTAAAAGCTGGATTGCAAAGATCATTTTTCTTGCATCACCAACTGAAGAGCTTTACAGAGTAACGGGGAGAGAGAAATAGAAGTTTCACGAAAGTTCTGGTGCTTAGGGACATATCAGTGACCAAAGCAGACTAGTTCACTTCTAGAAAATAAAGGAGCTGGGGTTACATTTTTCTTGGACAGGCAATTGAGCTTTATAATTATTAACAAATTACTCACTATAGCTTACTCCTCCCTTTTCTGCTGATCAACATTTCAGATTTCTATAAAGGCCCTTTCAGTACAAAGTAAAACTTGGTTCCACAATCCGAAAGAGGTTATTTTAACGATGATGAACTGGGGTTTCCTACAAAGGCTTACTGGCCCTCCTCAAAACTGGGAGGGCAGCAATGCGAAAACACCCAAAGGCAGGATGGAACTCCTTTGGCTTAAGCTGGATTATTTTTCAGACTGAAATACGCTCCTGGATCCCAGCAACGTCAGACAGTAGTCAACAGAAAAGCAGACACGAAGATGTTGGCAGCAGCATTCCACGCACTTACTGAAAGCAATTTGGCCCGAAGACGGTGGCGAGATTGTGGACGTTCATGCGGTTCTGCGCGTGGTGTTGGGCCACTTGCCTCAGGAAGTGGCAGAGGTACTTGAGGAGGCAGTAGTGGGGCTCCGGCAGCTCCTTCAGTAAGTCTCGCAAGCTGCTCTCCTGCGTCTCGCTCCTGCCACCTGGAAGAAGAAAAGGAACAAGAAATGCTCTCAGTCGTATTTCACAGGTCTAAGTCAGCCTAACTTTTTATCCAGAAAAAAAAAATAAAATTCCTTGGAGACTGTGCTAGGCCTTGAGCACCTGACATTTATTTATTTTTATTTTTTTATGTTAAGGAGTTATTCAAGAAATCCTAAAAATCTTGAGTTCCATTTAAGGTATAAATGGGTTTATGTTTCAATTTTGTGGTTTCTTGTACAAATTAAAAAAATGGTAAATTTGTAATCAATAGCAGGCTCTTCTGTCTGATATATGGCATCAAGTTGTCAACAAGAACTCTTTTGGTTGAATAAAATTCAATGGCAGAGGCCTTCCAGGATCATTGTGGGACACTAAATTTAGCCTCAGGACACTGTGCACAGAGATAATAGGAGAAAATGTCAGATTCCTACAGTTTTTAATCTTTGTGTAAAAAAAAAAAACAACTTATTTGATAGGCAGAGTGAGAGGGCAGGGAGAGACAGAGAAAGATCTTCTACCCTCTGGTTCATTCCCCAAATGGCCACATGGCTGGGGCTGGCTCAAGCTGAAGCCAGGAACCTGGAACTCTACCCAGGTCTCCCACGTGGGTACAGAGGTCCAAGTATTTGGACCATCTTCAGCATCTTTCTGAGGCACATTAGCAGGGACCTGGACCAGAGGTGGAGCAGCCAGGATTCCAACCAGCACTCATATGAGATGCAGGGTCACAGGGGCCTTAGCCGGTTGTGCTTCTACATGGGCCCTAACATTTTAATCTGAAAAAAGGACTCTCTTATTGGTCCAAGTCTAGTCAGGCCAAAATCTACTTGGAGATCTTTTTCATCTTGATCCTGTTTGGGGCATATCTTCAAGAGTCTATCCTTGGTGTCATAAATAAGAATGTCAATTGTTAAATCAACAGGAGTCACTATGCACTTGTTCCCCATGTAGGATCTCTGTCCTTAATGTGTTGTATTATTTGAATTAATGGTAAAACTACTACTCAAACAGTACTTTATACTTTGTGTGTCTGTGTGGGTGCAAACTGTTGAAATCTTTACTTAGTATATAATAAGCTGATCTTTTGTATATAAAGATAATCAAAAATGAATGAAGAATGGGATGGTTTGTTGGTGGGAGGGTGATTATGGGGGGAAAAACCACTATAATCCAAAAGTTGTACTTTCAAAATTTATATTTATTAAATAAAAGTTTTTAAAAATAGTCTATCTATGGGGCATAGCTTCAAAATGTTGGAAGAATTCTGCAAAGTCATTTTAGCCAGAAGGTCCCCACCTTGATATCTGACCAAATCATTCACACTCCTCCAGCCCCTGCCCTCTCCCAGTAGCCACCTCAGCCCGCCTCTAGGCAGGACCCTGCCGGGTCAGTTGGGCCACACACCCCTTGCCCCTGGTGTTTCTTTTAGTCATTCCCATCCACTGAATGGCCCCACCCCACTCTGCTCCTGGGTAACGATTTCCCACACTTCCCCACTACATTCCAAGCAGAGCCCATTCCTCTCCCCTACTACAAAACCCCACTGTGGGAGGCCCTCTGACTACCACAAACATCCCAAATTCAGTGGGCCTTGCTACTCTCCAACAAGTATGAAAATGCAAAATGTGCTCACTGCTAAACATGTTCTGCATACTCCCATTCATGCACAGCTATCACTCTCTGCAGTTTCAATCACCTGTGGTCAACTGTGGTCCCAAATACGATATGAACAATTCCAGAAAGAATTCATATTTGATATCACTTTTACTATTGTATAATACTCTCGTTGCTCTATTTTGTTACTCTTGTGGTTAATATCGGGCTGCGCCTACCTATAAATTAGACTTTATAATAGGTATGCATGTAGATGAAAAACATAGTACAAGGTACTTCAAAAAGTTCATGGGAAAAGAAATGAAGAGAGAAATTATTTTGGTGCGAACATTTTGAAATTCATACCCATGAGCAGACATAAGGTTCAATACTCCTGGAGGTTTCAGGCATCCACTGGGGGTCATGAACCAGCCCCCACAGATAAGAGGGCACTTGCATAGTTCAGAATTCCCTATGTGACTCTCATACAGAAGCTCAATACTTAGCCAAAAATTCACACTAAGCTCACCTCAGTTTTCTGGATTGCTTTTGCCAAGGCTTAAATAAAGTTACTAACTTAAGTTTAATTTGTTGTTCTGTACCAGACAGCAAATTTTTAATAGTGAACAGTTGAGGGGGATAGTCAGTCTATCCTTTAACAGATGCCTAGGAGATTGAAGTCTAATCCAATGATAATTAATACACAAATCAGATGCCTTAGATAAGCCGGCTTTAGCAGTCAAATGAATAAGAAACAGAAGAGAGGCAAATGAGATACAAAGGAAGAGGATTAGTTAGTGTTGCAAAATACAGCACAACGTGGTGCCATGGCAGGAAGTGAGAACACAGAACACATGCAGAGAGTCATGCACAGTGACCTGAGTGTCTACAGAGCACAGGCTGAGGAATCACTTCCTGGGTGGGGATTCCAGCTCCACTACCCACCACCTATGTGACTCAGCGGCATTGCTGATGAGGACATCATTTTCCACTGCTCTATGAGTATAACTAGCAGGGAAATAAAAGACATGGAAACAACCAGAAGGATTAAAAACCCACTGAAGACTACCCATTTCTCATGTCTTTAAATTAAAAAAAAAAATGAACCAAGAGAAAATATAATTTTGCTTTTTCTCAATGGTGACTGATTCAAAGTGGGTCTGCATGCTTTCAAGGGTGTGTAATCTGTTTAAAACTGTGATCCAGGGGTGGATATTTGGCACAGTGGTTAAAATGATGCTTGGGATGCCACATCCTCTATCAGAGTGCTTCCTGCTGATATGCCCCCTGGATGGCAGCAGGTGATGCCTCAAGTCCTTGCGTCCCTACCACCCACGAGGGAGACAGACTGCGTTCCAGACTTCTGACTTTGGCCTGACTCAGCCCCAGCAGTTGCAGGTATTTGACGGAATAAGTTAGTAGAGAGAAGATCTCCCTCTCTCTTTCAAGTAAATAAATTTGTGACCTAATGCCCAGCACTTCAAGCTACAAGCAATGGCATACCAACAGTCTGGAAAATGGGCTTCTTGGAAATGACTTTGAAATGAACCCCAAACCCTAAGGCAGGCCATATGGGAAGCTTCCAGATCAAGTAAGACAAATATTCAAGATAGCTATGCATTTACACCAATACCACCTTTGGAAAAGCAGTACTTTTATCATTTGCTTCCAATTTCTGAAATGCAATAAACAGTATTTCTAGGAAAAAAATTAATGAGTAATGGGAAGGGAGATGGACATACAAAAGTTTCAAGTTTAACAAAATGACACAAAATCCTTTACAGCATCAACGGAAGAGTCACTACTCACATGTTCTCAGCAGACAAAAGTCACTGAGAAAGAAATGTATTGCATCTGCCTCCTTCTACCCAAGTTATTCACATATCCTGTGTTAGAAGATGGGTTCATGTGTCACCCACTGGGCAAGGATTTGGGGATCTTCATCAGCGGCTCTGACAGCAGTACACTCATATTTGAACCTCAAATATTTATAATTTACTTCCTGAATCCTTGTTCAAAGACTTAATACCTTAATTTATTAGCATGCCATTTCTCACCTCACTTCTTACTGATTATGTGCTTACATACTGCAAATACATAATTTGTACTGCAGTTCCAGGTATGTGTGGTAACCACCACCATTACTGCCAGGCTGCAGCGTTCCTGCACACATGATTTGCTTTGTGTGAGAACAGTAATGGCTCAACGTCTTCAGAGGAAGCTTGTGGAAGAACGTGCAAGGTGCCACAAATGGAGGCAGTGGTGCTAAAAATGTGCTTCTTCAGGGCTAGTGTTGTGGCATAGCAGGTTAAGCCACTGCCTGAGACTATGCATGCCACATGGGCGCCAGTTCAAGTCTCAGCTGGTCCATGTCTCATCCAGCTCTCTGGTAATGTGCCTGGGAAAGCAGTAGAGATGCTTTGGCCCTGGAACCCACATGGGAAACCTGGATGAAGTGCCGGGCTTCAGCCCTGGCTGTTGCGGCCATCTGGGGAGTGAATCAGTGAATGGAATCCCTCTCCCTCTCCCTCGTCCCTCTCCGTGTGTGCATGTGTCTCCTCTTTTTGTAAGTCTGCTTTTCAAATAAATACAACTAAGTCTTTACAAATAAATACAACTAAGTCTTTACAAATAAATACAACTAAGTCTTTACAAATAAATAAATGTGCTTATTAGAAAATGCCTTCTGACATTTGCAAGAAAAAAAGTTCATGAATCAGGTTGAAGATCTCTTATCCAAAGTGCTTGATATCCTAAGTATTTCAGATTCAGAATTTAAAAAAATATTTGGGAGTGGGGGGCAAGCACTGTGGTACAGTGGTTTAAAGCCACAACCTGTAGCACCGGCATCCCAAATGGGTGCTGGTTTGAGTCGCTGCTGCTCTATTTCCAATCCAGCTCCCTACTAACGAGCCTGGGAAAACATCAGAGGACAGCCTAAGTCTTTGGGGCCCTGAACCCATGTGGGAGACCTGGAAGAAGCTCCTGGCTCCCGCCTTCAGATCAGCCCAGCTCCAGCAGTTGCAACCATTTGGAGAATGAACCAGTGGATAGAAAATATCTTTTTCTCCCCCCTTCTCCACGCTTTAAAAAAATTAAATGATTTTTTGAATATGTACATAAATGAGATATCTTGAGGGAGGGACTCAAGACTAAAACCCAAATCCATTTATTTTTGGAAACCCTCATACATGTAGCCTAAGGATAATTTTATATAGTATTTTCAGTTCACCTGTGCTTGGCTGTGACCCATCTATGGCAATAGGCATGAAATTTTCCACTTGTGGGCATCGAGTTGGAGCTCAAAAATTTCAGATTTTAAAGCACTTTGGATTTCAAATCTTTGGGATGGGGATGCTCAACCTATAGTGACTTTATTACGACTTGCATTGTTTTTTGATTTGCC